GTATACGTTATGTATATTATATATTTCGAGTAAAATTTTATATATATATATATATATATATATATATATATATTCATCTCGTTTTAAGTGCTTTTGGGGATTTCAAGCAATGCGAACATATTCGGTCTGTTCACGTTGCTTGCATTTTTTGCATTAGCATCTTTGTTCTCTTTCTTTTCAATATTTAAATATATATTTATCCCTTTTTAACTGCAAAGTGCTTTTTGAGGATTTCAAACAACACGAACACACCTATTGTCGACTGTGTTCGTTGCTTGGAAATGAGATCTATTGAATTCAATTGGTTCGTGACATAAAGGTGCCCTTTTATTGATACTTTGGGTGTATTTGAATTATACAAAGCGCTTGATGTATCATTTGTCCTTATTGTTCACCGAAGATTAAAGAAAGTCAGAAATGATAATAGAATCGACATCAAATCAATGTTGATTCAATGTCGATTTCATTATCATTTCTGACTGGAAGGATAAAATGATACATGCGCTTTATGCGTAATTCAGAACGCATCCTTTAATGTCAAACAAGTCAGAGTGATAAAAATTTACGATTAGCAAGCGTCAATGTGATAACCTTAAAGTCTGTGTGCCATAATCTGTAAGAATTGACCAATCAGAATCGAATATTCCTTTTCCATTCGATTATGATCAGGCCGTTATTCATAATCGGATCTTATTATATATTTAAGACCAGTCTTAAGTACAATCTTATGCATGATCTACAATGGGCAGTAACAGTAATTGATTAAGGAGTAAGCGTAGAAATCAACCAATCATAGTTGATTATTTTTCTCATTCAACTATGATTGGTCGATTTCTACGCGTACTCTTTAATCCACTACTGCTATTGTTCATTGTAGACATGCATTAAGATATCATGAATCAATCAAAGGGCCACATTAACGATTTAAGACATTACTTAAGACGGTCTTAAAATAAGAACTGATGAATATCAGCCAAAGTCTCGCTACAAATGCTTTAAAGCGTTTGATTGATCAATCAGAAGAAAGAATTTTACAAATTGATCAATCAAGACACTTTAAAGTATTTATAGCATCGCGTTGACGATAACCTGAAAGAGAAGAAGTATTTGGAAGAAGTCATTCTAAAAATAATTATTACAGAGAATCTTCTAACTTTTGAATTATTTTTTTCAGAAGAATCTAGTAAATTTAAAATTCATGACAGCAATTATAATTTTTCCTTAAAAATGAAATAAAACATGTAAAGCTTTCGTAGATTCGATGTTTCGCACGGTCTGAAGATCAATTATATAACTTAATTTTTCCCTAACATGGAAATGTGAAAATTTTGTGTATGTATGTATATGTACATATGCACATATGCATATAAAAAATTTTTATTTTTCAAGTTTTCGCTCTAGAGAAAAAATTATGTAATTGATTTCTTTTTCACGATAGGCACGAATTTTTAAATATAATAACTTAATAATTTCCAAAATTTTACTTTTAGATTTAGTAACTTTTAAAACCAATTATACTTTGAATTTAATAAATTTTGAATTTCCTCTAGAATCTAGTAACTTTAAACACTTTTTAATAATAATTTATTATTTGTAAATTTAAATATGACAATTAAAATAGATCTAAACAAATAAATCTTATATAGTCAAAATAGATTTTAAAAGAAATAAAATATTAAAATGGATCTAATTATAGATACATATTAAATAAGATTCATTTATTTTTTGATTATAAAATGTATAGTCTAATAAAAAGCTACATCAGGTAATAGACAAATTAAAAACAAATGTATCATAAATTTATAATTACGTCTGTAAAGCAGACTCGACTGGCGATATAATAAATTTTTTTATTATGTCAGTAATTGAAGTATAATTAATAGTTTTGTTTGTAAAATAGCGATTACTCTTAGTCTCCATTTACTAGGTACATTCGTCGATGTCATGATGGAAATAACAATAGGAAAAAGATGGGGAAAAAAACGAGCTTGCGCCAGCGTTTCGTGATTACTGTGATTTCCCGCAATTAAAGTCTGTTTAGTCATGGACTAGTACGTGGATTGCATTCGCGAAACGCATCTGACTGTGCAACTCGACGCATTGCGTTTTATTTGCGACGATCTGCACTCATTGTTTGTCTCTGGGTGAAAACACGAATATATAAACACAAGGAAGATAGCGCCAATTCAGGAATATAAATTCGAAATTTTTATATTCTAATTTTATAATGAACTAATGAAAAAATCTTTCTCAAAAATTTGTGGACTTATATATTAATTGTAATTAATTTTATATAAAAATAAATGACGATGTGTGTCTAGTTCTTCATTTGTCATTTATAAATAAATTTTATCAATTACTACATTTACACGGCAAACTGATCAATTACAGTCATTCCATTCTTCAGAGGAATAGCTATGATTGGCCAGTTTCATAACATTGATGTTATAACTTCGGTGTAAAGCGTGCCGTGTAAAGTCGACTCTACATTAGTTGCAAGCTGATCGCAAGTTTGTTGCGACAGCCAATATAAAGTGTTGATTTCAAAATGCAAGCTTCAGATTGGCTGTCGCAAGAAACTTGCGATCAGCTTACAATTAATGTAGAACCGGCTTTACAGAGAACAGTAAAAAGTCACGATATCCTGATGATATTATAATAATTTCTGTGTTCTATTTATGGGAGATACAGATACCTAAACATTATACAATTATCCATATTCATAATCCTATAATGGAAATATTCATAGCATATTTATAAAAGACGTTACACAAAGTAACTAACTATTCTTTTTAATATACAACATATTAATATACATATTGCACATACACCACACACAATTATTCTATTATATCTGACTTTATATAAAAGTAAATAAAATTATGATGATAGGATGATAGGAAGCAATCGTAACATCATTTGTCACTTATAAGTGAACTTATAAATAACAAATAATGTCATTATTACGATTTCAATGTTCTGAATATTATCAGACAATTATCCACCAAATATTCGTAGCACATCTATAGAAAACTATATGAAATATGCAACATTTTTCTTCGAACTGTGGATAGTATTCTATTCGTGTATTCGTGATATTAAAAGGTGATATTTGCTTTGAAGTACAGTATATAATTATTAACGTTGCATCTATTCTTTGCACTACAATTCCTTCTTATTTCATTTGTATAGTTGTATTAATATATTTAATATATTAAATATTAGACGAGATGTTAAAATTAAACTCGTTATATTATATATGACATAACATACAATAAGGATATGATTTAATCTCATTAATAGCGCGAAAGAGGTGACTCTTTCGCGCTATTAATTCGAGATTACTCGTATAATATGCGATTATACGCGTACAACATAATGCACGTTCAGACATTTAACCCGCGGAAATGTGGAATCACAGACAAAAATTCACATCAATGTGTATCTCACGCGCGGAGTCGCAAAACAAAGGGGCATCCCGCTGTAACATCTGTCGTTACGACAATTCAATGTTTTTCGCGTGTGACGTCCGCTGTTACACGCGATCAGTTGATTTATCATGGAAGATATTACAAAATATACATCCGAACGCGTTTTTATATATCGAATACCGTAACGCTTTCATCTCGCATATATCCCGCGTGTTGCAATAAAAAATTACGCATAAAGCATAATTGACCATCAAGTTATTACATGTGCGCGGTTGCTGTACTTTTTTAAATAAAATTTTTGAGGAGACGAAAAACAAATTTTTTAAAAATAAACCGATATTATTGGTTGCAATCTAAACGAGATAATATTTGACGTTGTCCTGTCGCTAAATACTATTATTTTATTTTGTAGTCTGTCACGTAGAAACTTTAGCTTCAGTAGAATTGCAATATTTACTCGCAGAGATCTCATCGAAATATAATTGTATGAATTGTGTCTGTTTAATGGGGTAAGAGTAAAAGTCAAAGATCAAGATATATAAGAAGAAAAATGTAATTGTAGGGATGCCAGAGGACTATCCACTCATTTACAATGTGCCACGTCGCACTCTGGCAGTCTAGGGGAATGATAGATGAGCATCAACTATGCTGCGCAAAACGAGCTTTACCTTTTTGCTAAAATAATCTCAGACAAGGATTTTCGATGTGATGCCGTGGTCGTAGAGTATGCGATAATGGCCCGACATGCGCGCGCGATTAATGCATTATTACGCGCTCCACTGACACCGCTTTATCCTTATCGCCGTCACGCCGCTGTTGTCATTGTCCTGTTTGGCTTTAACTACTCGTCGCTCTAAAAGCTGAAGATGAAGTAGCAGCACGCTTTCAGGAGGTTTTGTCAGTTGCTCTTAAAACGATTCCTGGGCGCTTGCTAGGAGTTACCTTCATAAGTCTTAAAAGAAACTGCCGGTTACATGAAATCTTTGAACAAGAAAAAAAATTAAATGATGTATAAAAGCTATTGAAAGCACGATGAATTTACAAGGTAATACAGTTATATTTATCTTTCGATCTTACAATCTATTTTTTGCTACATAAGTACTTTAAAGATATATTAGGTAGATGTATTAGGTAGATGATGAAGTCTCTCCATAAAAAATGACTGGAATTGGAAATTTATTCTTTTCTATAGATATACTATGAATATAAAAATAAATATTATAATACATAAAACATTTCAATAAAGTCAATATTTATATTTAACAATATAATTTTATAGTTATAATGAAAATTTTCTCATTTGATCTTAATTATTTTTTGATATATATCTACTTTTTAATAAAATAATAATGTTTGATTCGGATTTTAAATCACTTCCAAACTTTTTGTATTATACTCTCAAATACAATATAGAAAAATCTTTAATGTTTTTATAATTTTTTCAATTTGTTAAAAAATACAATTTAATTATTTCTCTTTGTATAATAAAGCAAATAAAATATAAAGTACAATAAAGTAAATAAAAACAATAAAATTTAATAAATTATATGTACAAAATTTTGTATAATCTCAGTATTTTTGTCCCTCTATATGTTGTAAATTCTCTTCGACGGATTGTAGTCCAGGATTCTTGGGAGAGATGCGATCGAATCGATTCCGCCTGTTAGTTATCCGCAGATTTTTTCCCGTGGAAATATACTTCTTTAAGTAATCACTTAATTCATTCTCATAATTATTTTTTAATTTTTTATCCGATACTTCCGATATTTGTGTAGTGCACTTATTCATTCTTTTCGATGTATCCTGCGAACGATTCTCTAATCTTACATTTATCTCCTTCAATTTTTCGTTAACGCTTCGTAGGTCGTTCACTGTAAGCCTAAGATCGAAATTCGACTTCCTCGAAGCGGCGAGTTCATCCTTTAAAGCCATCCTCTCTGATTTCAATGCGTTTAATTCCTCCCTAAATATCTCGAACTGCGACTTCAATGTCGCTTTCTCGTCTCGTAGATACATCAGTTCGAGTTTCAAAGCCTGAATCTCGTCCGTCGCTCTAGCGAACTTGCCGTCGTCCATCAAGCAGGAGTTGCGACTACACGAAATACCTTTCATCTTTAGCGCTCTATTTTCAACTTCGAGCTGATCGATATCGAATGTCGCGGTTCTTTCGCTATCTTTAGATATATCCGGATTATTGAAATAATTAGAATAATTGCTTATTTCTTTCTCATGCCAGATATTCGCCTTCTCACATTTCTTCAAGGTAGAACCACTAATTTCATCGTCATCTGAAACTTTTATCCACACTGGCACTGCATTTTCGGATCTACCTTCCACCAGTTTCAACGTAACTTCGGAATTTTTGGACTTCAAATTCGCCTGCTCTAATTTCAAAGAATTATTTTCGCTTTTCGATCTCTCTAGCTCGCCCTTTGACTCGTCTTTGATCACCGCTTTGTTCTTGTGACCAACACGTGTATCAGATTCTACTTTGACTTCTGTTCCACCGTCCCTCCGTTCGCCAATTTCGACCTTTATACTCGTACGCGCGGTATCCGAGCAATTTTGTTTCTGTTTAATCTCGTTATGAGTAGCGAATCTCGTCACAAACGGATGCTGCATATCGATCTTCTTTAAATAATTTTTACGATCATTATTTTCGTCGTGCAACGTGGCCGCAGTAAGTCGCAACGCCTCATACTTCATTCGCTGGATCTTCAGTTGATTATCGAGTGCTCTGCACTTGTTAGCGATTTCATTTATTCTTCCTTTCGCGTCATCTCTCTCCTTCCTTAGCTCGACATTGTCCTTTTCCCTCGCGTCGTAGGTAGCCTGCAGAAGGGCATTTTCCGCTTTCGCTTTGTCATTTTCGACCCTTGATTTATTCAATTTCATGGAAAAATATTCATTCTCCTCACTCGCCTTATTCAATTGCTCTCGCAGAGCGACGTTCTCATCATTGAGCTCGTTAATACGCGTCGCGAACTCGTTTTTTTCTGTCAACAGCATTCGTACACGGTCTTCGGTCTCGGTATTCCGTAGAGACAGCGTATCCAAATCGCCGATGGCCTTCGAGTTCTCCGATTGCAGGCGCGCCATATTAACAACCGCATCTTCGAGTTCCGCCCGCGCTCTCTCTAGTTCAAACTTTAAATTCTCCGCAATAGCTTCGTGTTCGCTTATCTTCTCCCGAAGGCCGTTACGCTCGGACTTAAATTTGTTAACTTGATCCTGCAGACCGGCGCACTTGTTATTGACATCGGACATCGACCTATCCAACAATTCTTTCTCAGACCTCAACTTCGACAACTCCTCTTCGAGTTGTTCTTTCTCGTTCTGAAGCTGTTTGACTTTATTCTTCGACGTTTTGTATTCCGCTATCACTCTGTTGAATTTTCCCGATGTTTCCTCGCTAGCATTTATCGGGACATTTAATCGATACGTCAACGACTGCTCGTTAGGTTCCAAATAAGAAATTTTATTCTCCGGCTCGGCCTTGTCCTCGATGTCTTCATCCGACGCGCATTTCAAATAACCGATTCGCTTGTCCGCCTTGTCCAGATTTATTTTAGGCTCATTTGACTCAGCTTTCAAGTACTCCAATTCATCCCTGAGGTTTTGTGCACGGTCTTCGCCATTGTCTCGTTCCTTCCCGCCGTTTTCCTTCTCCGAACTTTTCAATTTGCCCAGTCGTTCGCGTTCCTCCTGTTTCCCAAGTCCCTCAATTATACTTCTCAGTTTTACATTTTCATCGGAAGCGATCCCAAGTTTCGTCTTCAGGTCCTCTGTCTCCGCCCTAAGGACGGCTTTCAGCACGTTCTTCTGGGTAATAATATTCTCAATTTCCTCGTCTTTCTCCTCGAGAACGTTACGCATCCTTTCCGTTTCCCCTAATAACATCTCTTTATCATCATGAAGGTTCTGCAATTCTTTCTTCGCTGCATCAATTTCAACCTTCATCAGTTGCATTTCCGCGACACGTCGTTCGGAATGATCGTGTTTAAGCGACAGCTCCAATATTTCTTGTTTCCCTTTTTCTACATCTCCTCGGAGAGTCTCGTTTACCTCGCGTATGTCAGCGATAATCTTCTCATACTTCTCACGATCTCTCTTTGACGTTAATCCGATGCTTGCATGCTCGTCGTTCAGTGCATTTATACGTTCATTCTTTTCCAATAATTCCGATTTTAAGTACATGAGCATAGCTTCAAGTTGTTCGATTCTGTCACGTAAATTCGCGCGGTCATCAAAAATTTCGAGTTCCTTTATTTTACTGCACAATTGCTCAATCAAGTCTTCTAATATCTCCGTTATTTTCTCATTGGTATTTATAACTTCCGGCAGAGCTTGTTTTAAAATAGCGATTATTGCAATTGATTTTCTAACAATATCTTCGAGTTCCATGACTTTGATCATATATTGCGAACTGCTGATGCCACCGATTTTGCAATATTTGTTCATCGGTTTTATTTTCAATTTTTCAATCTCATTGTCGATTTCCTGTAGAAAATCATTCAATGATGAAGCTGTTTCTAAGCATTTCTCGTACTGGAGATTCTCGCATAACCGTTTGTCTATCGGCACGTTTGATCGTCTAAGCTCCACGGACAGTACTTTCAGGTTTACTTTTAGATTAACTACTTTCTTCATGTATTTCAAACAGTCAGGATCGCCGGCGGCGATCATCGCTTCGCGATCGCTCTTTAAATTGTTCCTCAAGTCGTTCATCAAACGTTCGACGTGTCTAACAACGTCTGGGATATCCGTGGCGTCCGAACTTTCGCTATAGTTCGCATTCTCACGAATAACTTTCAGCCGGCCCATCTCTCCCATCAATTGTTCGGCGAGATTGTTCAATTCGCCGATTCTCTTCTGATATTCCGCGCTCTTACCACATCTCGATCGCAGCATGGCTCTTGATCTGTCTAGCTTGAGACGCAGATTCCTATTTCTGGTCTTAAACCTATACAAATTCTCGCTAACGTTCACGAGTTCCTCCGACAAACCGATAATCATCTCAACGGTCTTGCCGATCGCATTAGCGAAGATTATTTCTATCGTCCGATCACCTCTCGCGAATTCATTCAGTTCATCCCTGAGTTGTTTCAACATGACACTCGTCTCGCTCTCGTCAACCTCTTTCAATCGCTCCTTCAGACACAAAATTTCGTCGTTCATGCGTTCTCTTTCACTTAAGAATTCATTCTCAAGTATGGCGATCTTATCACCTATTTCAGAGTTAGTGATACGCATGATATCCTCCTCGGTTTTCGTTAAAGCGCATTTTAGACTCGTTACTTCATTCTCTAAAGCGTCGTTTGCCTGCTCCAACCGACTAATCTCCGTCCTCTGATGCACGATCAAAGGGTCGATTTGCTGGTTATCGTTCCCATTCTTGTCATCCGCACGCAAAGCCATTTTCATTCGCCAGATATTACTCTTCAGTTTCGCGCTATCGTCCCGCCAATCTTTCATCTGCAGCATTACGTTATGCAGCTTGTGCAATGTCGCAACAGCTATTCTGGCGATTCTCGTCTTCTCTTCCACGGCAACGTCAATCGCGACCACTGACAGGTAATCGTCAAGATATTTGCCATTCATTGCTGTTTTTTTTCAATTTATCAGAATTATGTAATACGTGACAAAACACATTAAGTAATAAACTTCGCTAAATATTAGCTATTAAAAATTTATGTAACAAATATTATGTATATATTTATTGTTTATATATAAAATTTATGATTTTACCTTTATATTACCAGATTTTCGTTTAAGTTATCATTAATTTTTGATAAATATTCCGTCGAGGTTAGCGTTTATAAATCACTTATAAATATAATTAATTTGTATTATTTTATTAATTACAAATATCAATATTTTGTATTAAAACATGCATGTCATGGTAACAACATCAATAACTTGCAGAATTTATAATTGTCTGTAAATGTTTCATCAACTTGAAAATTTTTATATAGCGAAATGACATTAACGAAATGCTTTGATAATTTGTGTGCTTTGGAATGTAAAAATCGACTTTATATATGCGATAAGGAAACAGGAGCACAGATATCTTCATGTTCTAGAATCCGTACATGTATGTGATACTATCTATCTATTGTACGTTTTGTTAGAGCTAAGAGCTCCGTTTGTTGTTACATCAATTCGATTAACGAAACGGTGATTTTGCACGAGTAATGCGGCGGACGGCGAGCAAAAAGGAGGCGGAAAGTTTCGTGAAGTTCCGTTAACCCCGCACCACACCCATGTTTTCCTCCTTCCTTTGCAATTACCGCGCAGATTTAATTGATGACGGGCCCTCTCGATAAGTTCTCGAACAGAACCGAACTGTAGTCCAAGTGCTCTCGAAACTCTCGAAACTTAAGAAGCGTTCAGTATCGCTGCACCAACCCTCAATATCGGAACACCTAATAAGACTGCTCTAACGAGGACTTTCGCCGGCTATACTGCGCGCAATTTAATTATAGCGACCGCTTAATTATGTGGGTCGTACGTAATCGGTACTTCCGGTTTCCCGGTGCGCGCGAACTTTACGACACGGAGAATTCGATGAATAATACGTATCCTTTAGCATCTCTATTCAAAATGGTCATAAATTATCGACATAGTAAGTATATCAATGCTCATGCATGAAATATCATTGAAATTCTTGATATAAATTCGATGACACGCGAGACAATTCATTAGATATATTATCTTGCTATATCATCTTATCTTGCTTCATTATCAAAAAGTTTATCTATATTACATATATTTTTAAAATTAAATTATAATTATAAAATTTAATTCGATTATGATGGAAGGAAATTTACATCATAACGTCCTGTTAACTTATTATATCATGAATCGGTATTATTAAATCGAGTTATATCGACCTCACTGTCGATGTCACTGAATCGTGTGTCGAACTCGCTGGGAATAATACCAAAAATATGACTGACGAGTTTCACGAGTTTCCGCGCAACCTCATATCTCCATGCATAAAAAGATTTTATCTTGGCGGAGCTTTTTTACGGAACAATGATAGCGCACTCTACTACCGCGGGTTATCTATGAGTTGACCCGAGTCATAAATAACTTGTTTTCCATCCCGATAATATTAGAGGTACATATAGTACAAAAATGGTTATCAAGTAACTTATACATTTTTTATGCGATGTCCTCCCCGAAAAAACGTCGTAACGATTGTAGAGGCATTTTTAGGAATAAATTTGTGCTGTGGAATGTACGTCATGCAGAGAGGTTAAACGTGGTCCTCATAATTATATCAAATCATGAACGATCGATATGTACCGCCGTTTTGTTCATGCGGATGTCACGCACCGCGGCCGATAAAACCGATCGAATTACCGCCGCATGAACCATGCTGTTGCTGCGATTACAACCCCTTTAGCGACAATGCCGAGGAATCGGAGATTAACGATCTACCGTTCGCTCAACGAAAATTGACGGTAATGAAGTGCCAGATGAAGAAGTGGCGCATGGAGCGGCTGCAGCTCGAGAGCGAAAATAGGTCTCTGAAACAAGCCCTACGATCATTCGGTATCGATGTTCCATTTCATAGTCGAATCTTTTCTCCCCCGCCTTTGCTCTTCTACACTATATTTCTTATAGAATAAATATTCTTTTATAAATTTTATAAGAAATTACCATCGATATCTATATATACGAAGAGTAATTTTAGCACGGTACTTTTTCCGGTGCGACACTGGATGGAACGGTTCTATAAATAATAAATGGTTCTATAATAAAATTTATTTATATATTGATTCTGGATATTTCGTAAAATATCAAATAAAATTCGGTTATTAAGTTAAACGATTTTCCAATACAATATTATTTTATATGTTTCGTTTCTATATTTTTTATTATTAAGTTTTCATAGCTTTCTATCGATGTGTACAGCTCACCGCAAACGACCCATGTTTTCTTCGTCATATAAAAGAGAATACCGAATACATTTCGGGCGGTCAAATAATTTCCCTATAGGTGTGAAGCCCGACGAGGTATTGGGTACTGATCCCTTGCTCATGCATTACCGCGAGGAAAATGAAAGGCTGCAGAATGCAAATGAGGAACTGGCAGAAAAAGTTCGCAACCTCGAAGAGAGTCTCGCTGAACGAGATTGCTGCGACGATCCGTGCGAAAAAGTTAAATACGTGAGGGAGAAAATAGCAGTACTGAGAGATCGTTTCGCTGCCGAAAAAAAACAGTACATAATACCTATTGACTATGAAATTTCGCTAAGACAGTTTAATGAGTCTTTTCTCCTTTCTACTCTTGCATATTGTTTTAATAAATAATTGAGCCCAAAAAGGAAAAATAATTGAGCAATAAGCGGAAGGAGAAAAAAAGCTTCTATAAAATTAATATTACTTAAATTAATCGTTCGGGAATTGTCATAATAGTCAGAACAGACTTCTGTTTTATACTTTGCGAAGTTATATAGCTTTGAAAGGAAATTAATCACAGTTCGTCAGTTACGATATTTCCTTGAAAACCATCTATCTTCATTAAACACGGTACGCCAATATAATTACGTGCAAACTGTTGATATCGTGACAGAATGCGAGACATGATATCGCATCTGAAGTTGAAACTGGTGGAAGCCGAGGAGGATACTTCCTGTGCGGCATTAAATCGTTTGAGGGCAAAGCTTCGTGAGCTAATGAAAGATGGTCAGAAGGTTGATCAACAGGTGTCCGTGGTTGTCGAGAGATCAATGCAGACATCGGATCTATCAAAGAGATACGAAGATCTGTTACGAACAGAGCGCTTGCAAGCTGAACTGACGCAAATTCGTCGTTCAATGGAGGAAGTTGTTACACCGGTCTCAGAAGAGATTGTCGTATCTGCAGATGCGAAAGAAGAGGACGTATCGGCACTGTTAAGTCAGCTTCGTAATTGCAAAATGCTCCTGGCTGAATTGAAAATGCATTTGGATGAGAAGACGGCTTACACGGAGGCTTTACGAAGCGAGCTTGATCAACTGAAAGCGTCCATCGTCAGACCAGCGACCATGATAGACGAGGTAGCCGAGATGAAGGAAGAACCCGAGAAATCTGACGATAAGGTACCTCTCTTTATTTTTTCATATCTGTAAATACTCGTAATTGATTGCATGTGTTAAAAATCATAAACGTTTTATACTAATATGTAAACTCTTGTTTCGTTGAGATGAGACAAATGCTAGAGGATGTTTATACTTGTCTAACTCTGTAGTAGTATTCATGACAATTGGATATTTGTTCGCAGATTGCCGAGCTTCTCGAAAGCCTGCGGCAGTCGGAACTGTCTGTGCTGGACGTGAATAAATTGCAGAGCGAGATCGAAGATATGAGGTCCCAGTTGTATAATCTTAAGACGGAGAAAAAGAAACTTCTCGATGAGCTGAAAAAGATACGGAGTGTAGTATACGAGAAAGAGCGTCAAATAAGCGAACTGCATAACGAAAGTGAGATTCTGAAGAAGCACGTTGAAAGACTGAAATCCGAATGCGACGAATTAAATATTAAGAATGCATCGTTAGAGAAAGAAATCCGAAAAACACAAAAATTGAGTAGAGTGAAAAAGGAAAATAACGAGATGAAGAGCGAGATCGATAAGTTGAACGTTGACCTGTGTCGCGAGGAAGAAAAATTTCAAGTGGCGCAAAAAGAGCTAGAGGGCATGAGAGACGATTTGCATAGTCTCGGAGCTGAGAATGAATTCTTGAAGAAGACATTGGAAAATGCAAAATTGGAGACTAACGAACTTAAAGAAGAAAATGTTGCTTTGAAAAACAATCTTGATAACATGATTAAAGAACTGGAATCTTCGAGAAGGGAAAATAATAATATTAAGGCAAAGATAGATCAATTATTATCCGAAAATAAGTATTTAAGAGTTGAATTAGAAAAACAAGTGGCGGAGACGGATCAATTAAAATCCGAAGGGATTGCATGGAAAGAAGGTTTCGATAGACTGTTACAAGAAATGGATAGATTAAAGGTTGAAAGCGATGAACTAAAGAACGAAAGTGCTGCTGTTAAAAGCGAAAGAGACAATTTGACAACTGAAAGAGACAACTTGAAATCCGAGAATGGTCTTCTTAAAGATGACTTGTCTAAAACAAATGTAGCGTTAGATGACGCAAAGAAACAATTGAACAAATTTAAAGTCAAGAATGAAGTTCTTACAGAAGAATTGAAGAAGGCTAATGTAAATAATAACAAGCTATTCGCGGACTTCGATATTTTGCAGAGCGAAATGGCAAAGTTGAACTCGGAGAACAGAAAATTGTTACAAGAAATAGATAATAGGAAAGAAGAACTAACAAAATTATTATCCGAAATAGAAACTTTGAAAAAGAAGGTAGATAATACGAGTAATAAATTGACGAAGGCAAATAATGAAGTTGTAAATTTGCGGCAGGAATCGGTCGAATTAAATAATAAACTGAAAGAGGCGAAAGTTATAAATGAACAACTAAGGGCAGATATTCACCAAACAGAAGTAGAGAACAAAGATATTAAGACAAAAATGAATAATTATAAAAATGAAAACAGTAGGCTAAACATAAAACTAAATGAATTGAAGGAACAAATAAATTCATCGACGGATGAAGTAAATAAATTAAGAGAACAACTTGACAACGCCGAGGATCGGATTAAGTTTCTTGAGGCTCAGCTCGTTAGTTTACAGACTGATAAAGACAAGATGCAGAATGAGATCAACGCTTTGCAAAATGAGATCAGCAAACTGAAATTAGATCTAAGTGCAGAATCTACTGCTAAACGAGACATTCAAGAGGAATTAGTGGCATTAAAGAATGAGATGAAAAATTTGATCTCAAAGATCGATGAGATGAAGGTGCAAAATCATGCCCTAAAAGAAGAGAGAGACACCCTCAAGAAAGAGCTGTTGAATCTAGGCAAGGAATCGTTGAGCCTAAGGGCTGCGAATGCTGAGATGATGAACCAGATTAATAATTTAAAACTGGATATATCTGATCTTCAATCGCAATTATCTAAAGCGGAAGAAGATATTGAATATTGGAAGTTGGAAAATTGCAAGCTTAAGATAAGCTCAGATAAGTTATCCATCGAGAATGAAAAGACAAAGGAAGCTTTAAACGTCTGTAAGGTAGAGATAATTAGTTACGTATTCCTCCTGTAACTTCTTGTGCCTTTGATAATAATCACATTGAAATTCATAGGTTGAACATCAAACATTAGAGAAGGAGATAACGAATCTTAGAAATAAGAAGATTAAGCTCGAGGGAGAAATAGCAGAGCTTAAAAATCTATTAGAAGGGCTAAATCTGTCTTCATTCGCCGAAAAGTCTGCTAAAGAAGAGGCTGTGGAGGAACTGACCAAAGTTAAGAATGAAGTCGTTGCTTTGAAAGAGGAACTTAAAATACTAAAACCAGAATTAACTAAATTAAGAACAGAAAACGATAAGATAAGAGATAAAGAGGGAAATTTAACCCGACAAGTATCAACGTTAAAGACAGAACTTGAAAACAAAAAAAATGAGGTATTAGCTTTGAGAATAAACAATAACACATTAAAATCAAAAATAAATACGTTAACAGATGAGAATAATAAACTAAAAAATGAATCAAATATGCTGATATTTGAAGTTGATGGTTTGAAACTAGAAAACACGAGTCTGAGGGAAGAACAACAGAAATTTGAGAAAGAATTCGGCAAACTAAAAGGCGAGGACGATAAGCAAAAGGATGAGATTAAAAATCTGAAATCTAACTTGACAGCCGAACAGAAATTATCAGAAAAAATTAGATTGGAATTATCTACTAGCCAATCGGAAAACGATAGATTAAGAGCGGAGCTGGAAAAATTGCAAAAGAATTTAGATACTCTTGAATTGGCGAATGACAAATTGAACAGTGAAGTAGAGGATTTAAAGAAAACATCGATCGACGCGCAGAACAAGGTGAACGCATTGCAGTATCACGTGGCTGCATTGTTAGAAGAGAAGGAGGCACTTCTGAACGAGTTAGATAGTTTACGAGCGGAAGTGAGTAGATTAGGTAAAGTTGTGTCGGATAAAGTTGCAAAGGAAGCTATTGAGAAAAAGGCGATCGTTTCTAACGGTGAATTAATGGAAAAGCTAAAGGCAGAACTAGATAAAATGCGTGTGGAAAATGAGAGTTTAAAGCACAAACTAAATGACGTAAATAAACGATATGCTTCTTTGAAAGACGAGAATGCTGCTCTGAAAATCGAAAATATTAAAATAACAACAGGACTCGATTTATTCAAATCAGATTTAACAAGAGGGAAGAATGACCTAGATAAGTCTAAGAATCAGAACAACGAGTTAAAAGCAGAAATCGATAAATTAAAGAAAGTACTCGATGATGCCGAAACGAAGATTAAATTTCTGGAAGGACAGCTTGTTGACTTGTCGAATGAAAAAGTGAGGCTCGAAAAAGAGATGAAAGTTCATACAGCGATTTCAAAATTCGATGATGTACATGCGCAGCTTGATGACTTAATTAATGCTCTGGACGCAAAGAAAATAGATAAGGCTGCCTTAAAGAATGCCTTGATTCAATTACAAGATGATTTGAATAAATGCAGGGCGGACAACGAACGATTAGCAATCGAATTGGCCGCTTCGGAAGCAATACAGAGAGAAAGGATGGAATATGATAAAGAGCGACAGGATTTACAAAATTTAATGATAGAAAACAAAGAATTGCGGGATGAATTAAAAATGGCGCAAAATATGATCAATAAATTAAAAGAGAATATCAAGAAATCGAAAGGCAATTTTATAGAAGATATCGACAGCTTTGAAAATGAATTGAAGAAATTGATGATCGAGATAGACAAGGCGAGAGTAGATTTAAGATACGCGGCGGAAGAGAATACTAAATTAAAAATGATCAACGACAGTCTGGAATTAGAACTAGGTCGATTGAAAACGCTGCTGAACGAAATAAAAGATTATCCTGAACAAGTCGGTGAAGAAGTTAACGGGACGAAGGATCAAATCCAAAGACTGTTGGCCGCAAATAATGCGTTGAAAATCGAAAACATGGAGTTGAAATCTAGATTGAATCATTGTCAAACAGAGAAAGAGCACTTAAACGATGAAATTAACAACTTGAGCGAAAAGATCAAATTTCTGCAATCTCTGCCTCCCATCGTAGGTTTGTACCTTTTCGATATACAATCTAAAACTTTTCTTCGACTAAAGTCTAAAAACACAATTATGATTTTTTCACATTTTACGAAAAATATCTTGGTGAAACAAATTATAGAGAAATCCTCGACTATATTTTAATTTCTAGCATTTTTATATGATTTAGGAATGAAATCCTGTAGAGAACAAATTCAAATATGAATTTAAATCTTATCTTTGCCCTTTAAAATGCGTGATCAAAGACTTCTCTATGATTTTTTTGATCGAAATATTTCACTTTTCGTAAAATGTGAAAAAATTTTATTTCCAAACTTATAGCCGGGATTGCATTATTGGATAATATAGCGTGATTGTATAAATTAATGAATATAATTTAGTTGTATAATGCGTTTCATTCATTCGGTAGTTTTTGGCGAAGTCTTTTTCTTATTGAATTTTGTCGGTCGCGTTCACATTAAAGGAAAAACATCTTTGTAATTCCAGAGGCTGGCGTGATTAAACCGGATGAATGCGGCGACTTCGTTAAGGCGAATGAATTACTGAAGAAGCAAATTGAAAAGCAATATGACGGTAAAAACTTGCATAAAAACTTTTTCAACTGTTTTGTCATTCCGACAGTTTTTATCGCACTATAGAAACGTGAATTTCCTTATTCATAGCCCGTAATTAGTCCGGCTAATATCTTAATAAGTTAAGCATTTCCATAAACTTACGACACTCGAAGGCAACATTTTGCAAATTGTTATATTCTATTAATTACGCAACGCCATCAAAAGTTGCGCGTGCAGAAAATATTCGAACAAATTTTGTGATACATAGAAAATAACAAGAACAAACATTGATTACATAATTTCTACAAGTTAGTTCTGCATTTGTTCTCGCAATATAACAGCCGTGCAACGTGTGCGTAATTACATACAATTTGTGGATGGAAAAATTCCTGTGAGACCCGCGATGGCGACAACATTGGATGATGATTTTGAAATTGAGCGCTGGATTGTGCCATCCATCGTGGAATTGCTAAGAGAATCGCAAAAGCTGTCCAAGAATATCTATCTGGCGGAAATCGAAGTTCAGGATATCGATAGATTGCTCAAACTACTTAATGAATGCAAGAAAGAAAATGAGAATTACATAAAGCAATTATTGGTGAGGCGAATAATAGATAGGCGAATAATAGATATTAATCAAGTATATCAAATAGTATCCTGTTTGATGATTTATCCGAAGGATAATTTGAATTTTCTGACTTGCATATTAACGCTGGAAATGAATCGTTTCTAGGCGCTTGGTGTGGAAGTTACCAAGGTTGCAGGTGTGGATAATGGCGATAAGCTTGCAGCTTTTGACCCTGAATCTTGGTTGAAGGTATGTACGTGCAGTGGTAAGAGTTCATTTTGCTGCGTTTGCTTCTTTATATCTATCAAATCTCACTTTTCTCCATATTGACGCGTCATATTTGTAATAAATTGAAATATTATTTCTATGTTGCATATTTCAATATATCTATATATTACTTATATCTTATAAACAGATAAAAATATATCTAGATATAGAACGATTTTACTGAAATATCTAAATCTAAATTTATCAAATTATAGATTTTAAAATAATATTCGTTCAACAAAATAATTACGTAGAAATCTCAATCATAATGAGCAACTCTGCAAAAATTTTGACGTTTGGCAATTACTTTGAATGTCCTACATATTATAATTATTTTGATAATACAATAAATTCATTTTCAGATTTATATCTCTCTAGCTAAATTTTTAAATACTTCAACAAAACTGTCCCTTCTCTGTAATGTAAAAATAGTTTTTAAAATGGAAATAACTAATTGTTAATACAAAATATTTACGTTTGTCGCTCTCAGTCTTTGACACTAATGCAACTGGCCGAGTTGCATGATAAAATCTGTCTGTTGACTTCGAATATGGTGCAACAAGATAGCAGTCCAGCGGTTTGCGATTGTTCAGTGATTAATCGAGACTACGTTAGTGATCGATTGCGAGCAGATTACGATGCTTTAATTCGGCGGATCGCTGCCTTGCAGAAGCAAATAGCCGAAAAGCAGATTGAGGCGGGATGGAAACTGCAGGAATTAAGACGAGCTCTTCGTATTGAGCAGGCAAACCTGATTCAAATCTCCGACCGGATGAAAAAAGGCGCAACTTGCTCTTGATCTCACCATGGACGATTCAGTGTGATTTTCTTTCCGGTATCAGTAAACATGTTAAAAATGACATTTACTTCAAGCAAGTTCTTGTTATTGGACGCGCAGCACAAGGCGAATATTCTTTATAATCTTTCTTTTGATTAGAATATAAAATAAAAATATAACGATACAGAAATTCTGATATTCACATTCAATTTAATACATTTAAGACCATTTAATTATTTTAAATAATTTCTGTAATTATAAAACAATGGGGAGGCCAAATAGGCATTCTCCAATTATTACAGCCTTTTCAAAATACCTTGTCCGTTTCTATATTCCTCCCTTCCCCCCCCCCCTCCAACTATCCAAATAGTTGCAACAATCTCCTAGGCATATAATTGCGATAACGTACCATATTCAGCAAGATCATGGTTTTGTTGCTAATCACGATCAAACAATAACAACTAATGAGAGCCGCTTGTTTCGCGGCGCATGCTTGTGCACGCCATCACGTACGATAACGTGATTTCCTGTTTCATTTCGGAGGTCGCGTTGTTCGATCGAGATTAATTCAATTGTATCGTACCGCATCCGTTCCCACGACTTTACCCGGCTCGTCGATGCGACCGCCGACGCGCGGGTGTGCACTCGGGCTCAATAGAAAGGCGAATGCCGTCGACAAAGAGTAAACATATAATTGAAATGCGCGGGTAGATCAAACGATAAATGAATTGTCGAAATCCGTTTAACTGTATGTCCACCGCACGGAATTGAAATAAATTCGTAAAACGCTGATAGCGAACCGTCGCGAAAGCATTAATGTGACATGATGACTTGCAAAAAGGTATATCTTTTTTTCTCCTTCCTTTTTTTCAGGTTGAAAAGAGTTTTGCCCGTTCGAGTTATATATATGTTTTTACTTACATATTCTCAGCTTGCAATCTCAGTCCATATATTATATAATAAGAAGATAACTATTGCAGCAAGATGCTAACATGACTATTTCGCATTATATGATGACAACGGTATATAACTTTGTAAAGTGATATTTTTTGTTTCAATTACCTCATCGAAGAAAATAGTTACGTAAAATTATATAAAGTCTGTAAGAAGTTTCACTGTGACCGCAAATATTATATATAATCGAATGTAACTTCATACTACATATACATAAGATTCTATTACGAAATAATATAATTTTCGTAAAACTTCTGCGTTATATGATTGAATGTTTTCTTAAAAAGAAAGATTTATCACAGATTGTTGAGAAATATAGAGTTTAATTTTCTTAACCCGTTGATGCCATTCTATTGTATATAGATTGTTTTATCATGTACTTGCTACACTAGATATTCTAAAAAATATCGCATAAAATTAAATATATGACAATTTTCTTTTTCAATTGAAACGCTGAATATAACAAGCAAATATATGTGTACATCTGTTAATAAAAAAGTCATAATGTATCCAAGGTATACCATACTAGGAATAGTAAGGGAATTATAATTGGAATAAGAATATAAATCTTAAATTTTTTAAGATGAGCACAGTGTGGATATATCTTATAGATGAAAACTTTTTAACGATAAGTACGTTATTTATTAAAAATGCTTATATAAACTTCTGCAGTTGTTGGTGCACAAATAATTTATTATAAGACAATACGCTACCAAAACAAAACAACAAGTTATGATAACGTTAAAATGATATCAAAATAAATTAAAAATGATTGAAAAATGACTTTTAATAATCATTTTAAAATTATTTTGACATCATTTTGATATCATAATGACTTGTTGTTCTACTTGGATATAATTTGTAAATAACTGAAACATATTTATCAACGAATTTAATTACAAATGTTTCGACTCTGAATTTGAGAGACTTCTTCTTAGAAAGTCCATTACCAAATACTAACAAATAGTAGTCTGTACTTGACTTCCGCGTTGAGAAGGACTCAAATTCAAAGTCAAAACGTTTACAGTTAACTTCGTAATTACATTCTAGTTGTTTACAAATTATATTTTATCGGCTTATAAATATTAATATAAATTTGTGCACCAACAACCGCGCACAATCATATTTAAAGCTCATATGTAAAGCATTTTACATATATTTGATTTATTCTTGGAGCTAAAACTATTTTTTATTTTAAGTTATTTATCTATATAAGCTTATTCTAAGAAAATATTATCTTTGTTCAAAATGTATTCTCGTATAATTTTATTTTATATCTGTAATTTTGTACTATATATTTATAAAATTTTAAAAAGACGCATTATATATACGCGGAAATGTAATCGTTAGTTAAGTAGCTTGTTTTCTTACTTCAAATGTGAGATTTTCCACCGAAAGTCTAAGAGGTAAGATACCATCAACATGACTAATAAAAAATTACAGCGGAAAGATTTATGCCAGTTTAAAAACAATGACTTCGTGCATTTATGCGCTTAGTTCGAGTTTGTACAGCTATCTTGTGTATTTACCAGCAACTCATTGCATTTCCATATTTTAATTTCTACCTGAGATTGGGATTCTAGAATCGACATTTAATTAAACATTTCACTGTGCAACACAACAACAAAAACATTCGCAATTAAGTCGATTCTTCGGAAATAATTAATCATACTTATTGTTATCAATACAGATGTTCGTCCATTTGTCATCAACTCGTTCTAAATACAAACAATTTTTGGTCTAAATAAAAACTAAAATATCGGAGTAGAAAATAGACAAAATGATACAAAAATAAAATAATAGAAATCAATTTTTCAAAAAAGTTTTTAACTTTTTCTCAATTTATCTTCATTTAACAGCTGCATAAGAAATATTTCTTCATAGTTTTATAGCTGTGTACTTTTTATAATTTTAAAGTTGGTACAATTTCAATCTGGCTTGGAGGCTTTGAATGTGATTTTTAAATAATATAATTGAACTAAATATGACAACAAAATATATGCGTATATCCAATGTAAAGTTACAGTTACTAGTAATTGGTAATAATTCATATCCCCTCTTCTATTCCTGTATTCTTTTTTCTATTTTCAGATTTTTGTAAATTATGTTCGTTCTGTATATTCGAAGAATTTCTATCTATAATATAATTGATATCACTCTATGATATCATTCTAACAAACTAATATGTACCAAAAGTAATTACGTCATGTGAATATCTGCTGAGTTATTTCCGGTGTTATGCAAGACATTTTATTTTCAGTACCTAGAAATAATCCAAGGTATATTAGAAAAAATATCGAAGTACAAGTACTATTAAAATAAAATATCTAGATACAGGTGTTTTTAATGTATCCTAAGACTTTTGAGTACTTGATTACCACAAATACATTGAATCTTACAAGAAATAGAAATAACTTGTTATTTGTAACGAAGTTACAGTTACAGGTACTTTTTTGATTTTATTATATAACTGCATTACTTTTTTTTAGTAACTGTAACGGTAACGTAGTTACATTTTTTGATAACGATAACTGTAACGGTAATTATAACGCGTTACTAGGGAGTTTTGCAATACCGTTTATCCAAATACGGTGAACGCTCAGGTTATTTTCTTCTTAACAACTATTTAAGAAAAGGATAACGTGATTTTAGATTTTCACCGTATTTGGGTTCATGTTATTGCAAAAAGTACTTAAAAAGTAACTTTCCTGTGTCAATAACAAGAAATGACACGTTAATTACATGTCATTTGTAAATAAAAACAATTTGAATAAAAAAATGATGAGATCGCTTTAAACAATATAATATATAGTTTCGAAGATGCGAAAAATTGTTAGTCAATTAAAATTGCTAGTCAATTTTAACTCGTGATATTATTGCGGTAGTTTAGTAGAATTAGCATTTCAAAATCGAAAAATCATTTCAGCACGCATTCCAAAAAGGATTACATACGTAGTAAATTCACATAGAATAGGCTACGCAGGCGCACTGAGTAAGCCTGTTCTACAATATGCTTTTTGTTTTCTGTTTTTTGCCTTTTGTTATTTTTTACATCTTGTCTTTTTGCTTCTTATTCGGTTTTTTGTTTTATATCCGAGATAAAAGTTAATGAACTTCAAAAGAAATAAGAAATACATTTGCAAAAAATATAATTGTTGATAAAAGGAGGTTGCAAAGAAGAAAAAAAAACAAAAAGTAAAAAACAAGAAACAGGAAATAAAGAGTACGTTAACAAACAGAGTTGTAGGCTTAAAAATCGTAAAAAATGATAAAAATACTTTTTATCGTTTTTTACGATTATTTACTGACTGTCGGAGGAATAAGAACAGCTTATCTTTATAATTGCTTTTATCGTATAATTTTCATTTTATCTGGATTGTTCTTATTTACAAATGACATGTACAACAAAAATTAACATGTCATTTCTTGTTTCTTTTTTGATGTCACAATTCAATAGGGGCTGTGGTGATCACTCAGAAACCTTAAATATATCTAGTACAGGTACTTTTATTAACATAAAATTTTAGAATAAACAGGCATTTATGATGTCATGTATTCGTACGTAATATTTACGTATTATATGTATTTTATATATATATTTATAAATATTCTATGCCAATTTAACATGTTATACAATAACATAAAATAATACTTATAAAGCTATTAATTAGTTTTATTCAAATAATTCATTTAACATTTATGCATTATGTTTTAAAAACATCAAACATTCAACATTTTCATTGGACAAATTATTTTGTCACGGCGTTAAAATTTGGTGCTCTGTGTTAAATACACGTTCAATAGGAGTTCAGTAAAAGTGTTATATTTTATATAAATTTTTGTTATATAATTGAATAATCTATTTAACGCAGAAAAATATCATTCAAGAAATAAAAATATACCTAAATATAAGTATCACTACATAAGTAATCATAATATTTTTATACGTATCATTATATTTTAATCATCATATTTTTATTGATCTATTTATATGCGAAGACACTATGAGTTTGAATAAACACAGACGTATACAACTTATATGTCAATATATTTATATCTTATCAGAATAACACAATAACAGAATAATACGTGATATCTTACGAACACAAATGACTTTCTCATTATCCAATTTGAATTGATTCTCTTTATCAGAGTGTAAATGATATATATTCTCTTTATATTTTGATTTATAAAAGAAAAATCTTTTATATGTATTATGTATATATTTCACAAAGTTCTATATACACAAGTGCTATCTCCAAACTATTAATCTCCAAACTATTATAACTATAAATTCTTTAATCGTCTAGGATGTCATTATAATTCGTATTCTAACAAAAAACCATTAATTTTATTTTGTCAGTTATAAAATCAATAAGTAGAATGAATGAAACTTTAAAAGTAGGACATTTAAAAATAAAATGATTCAGCATATCTGTTATAAATTTCGTATAATTCCAATGATAAAAACGCAGTTATAAAAATGTGTGTCATATATAAGTCTTGAGTCCTTCTCTCTTAAGCTGTGTAGCAAGAAGTGGGGAGCCTCCTATTAAACTTAGTGCAGTAGACGCAATATCTAGCAGTGTCAGTTATATATTTCTCGCAAATGTCGTTGAACTGCATGTTATCTGTATTCGAGCTGTTCAGTTCAAGTTTACAGTGAGTTGAACTGTACAATAATCATATAACAGGCATCACAATCATAATAGCGATCAGCTAACAATGGCTACAGGCATGTTCGAAATTCTCTGTGCCTTCGTGGTGATCTTATATTTACTTTATTATTATTTGACCTCTGATTTTGACTATTGGACATCATGCGGGATCAATGGACCGAAACCCATTCCGTTCTTCGGTAACATTGTCGATTTTTTAATGGGCAAGAAAAACATGGGTGATTTTTACAAAGAAATTTATGACCGATATCCGAAAGAATCCATGGTGGGTGTATTTTTGAGAGGAAACCCTGTGCTCGTCATAAAAGATCCTGAATATATCAAACAAGTGTTGATCAAAGATTTCACCACCTTTGCCGATCGACATTCAATAGTTTATGAAAAGGTATTCTTGAAAATATTATATTAATAGGTAATTATTAATATGTAAATATATGCAAAGCAATAAGTAAAAACAAAGTCAAAGACGAATAAATTTAAGATGTTGATTAATTAAAAAATGTAATCTTTATTAATGAAGATGGTAACAATTTTGTACGTTTCAACTGTACAAAGTCTTCATCAGCATTAAAAAAATATAAAAAAATGAGAAAACAAATTAAAAATAATAATTTTAATTATTTAAAATAATTATTTTTAATTTGTTTTCTTATTTTTTGTTTCGAAACGTACATAACAATTACAATAAAAAAAATTAAAAGTTGAAAAAGAGTATCTCTCTTTTTTTCTCTCCAATTTAAAATTGAGCTGACGTATAAGTTTCGAGGCAAGCGTTGATCATTCGGAAACTTTGAAAGGAAACTTCCTAACATAATTCCCGCTTTCTAATACACTGATGCATAATTTATAGGCCGAACCCATGTCCATGCACCTCTTCAGACTCGACGCTGTTAGATGGCGATCATTAAGAATGAGGCTTTCGTCGGTCTTTACGAGCGGGAAGTTGAAGGACATGTTTCACTTGTTGCTGAAATGTTCCGACCACTTCGAGAAGTATCTAGATGAGATAGTATCTAAAGACAGTATTGTCGAGTGCCGACATTTGACATCTAAATTCACTATCGACGTGATCGGATCGTGCGCTTTCGGTCTTGAGATGAACGCGTTGAAAGAAGAGAATAATCAGTTTCAGCGTATGGGCTATAAGATTTTCCGCTTTGGTCCAAAAGTCATGATTAGAAATGTACTTAAAGACATACCGTGGTTCTACAAGAATTTCGGATATTTCTTTAACGATCATGACGTGACCAAGTTCATGATAGATATTACCCGAGAAACTATAGAATATAGGAAGCGGAACAATGTGCGTCGAAATGATTTCATCGATACTCTTATTGATCTCAAAGATAATCCTGATAAACTGGGCGTTAATAGTAGGAACATTGCTTTTTTTGCGTCTTAATTTATATAAGTTTATTATAAATTTTCGAATGCATTAGATGTATTTTTGTTATTATCTTTCTCGAATATGTTTATTTGTTTTTCATAAAAGATAATCATTGAATAAAATAATTAATATGATAATTTAAGCGATTAACATGATATTACACCAAGAGAACGACTTTGTTGAAGTAAATAAAAAAAATTTAGATAGATACAAATTTGAAAATATTTTTGTTAAAACATCAAATTATTTATGGAGGAAACTTAAGCATAATAATTAATAAGTAATGTTGCAAAAAGTATTGACATTTTAACAACTAATTTGAACATCCTGCATAGTTATTTTGACACTTCAAAAAATTATTTTCAGATCTGCATCAAGCTAAATTTTTAAATATTTCAACAAAATTGTCGTATATGTATTCAATACTATTAACTATTATTAAAAAAATTTTTTTTTGTATGATAACGATTGTAATAACCTATAATTTCTTTTTTCTTCATCTAAAATCTAAATACAAAATTATTATTATTCTTATTTTTAAGGTGTAACGGATGAATTCATTGCTGCCCAATCATTTGTATTTTTCGCGGCTGGCTTCGAAACATCTTCTATTACAATGTCTCTTGCAATGTATGAACTAGCGAAAAATCAATCAATTCAAGAAAAAGTTCGAAAGGAGATTAAGGAAGTCCTTGACAGTATTGATGGAGTAATATCATATGATAGCATCAAGAAAATTAACTATTTGGAAAAGATTTTTCAAGGTTTTTTTTTATCTTTTTTAAAAAGTATTTCTTATAAATAATTCAACAAATCAAATTTATTTACAAATATTGCTGTGATTTTTTTCGATTTTCTAAAAGTTAGAGACGACTATTTCCATAAGATATGCGGAAGGTTTGATAAATCGACTGTTCGATTTATCGAAAAATATTTTTCTGCTAAACCTAAGTGTTTGTATTACTTTGCAGAGACTCTTAGAAAATATCCACCAGTAACGTTTCTAATAAGGAAACCTATAAAGAATTATACTTTCGAGGGGACTAAGATCACTCTACGAAAAGGACAAGATGTAATTATACCCAATTATGCTATTCAACATGATCCGAATATTTATCCAGATCCAGAAGTTTTTGATCCTGAACGATTTAGTGCGGAAAATATAAAACAGAGGAATCCTATGTATTATCTGCCTTTCGGAGATGGTCCAAGAAACTGCATTGGTAATTTAAAAAATTTATGGAAAAATTTTTACAACAATATCACAATGTTTGCGAAATTTTTATTTGTTTTCATATTTAACATTCTACATGCACTCATGCATACATATACACAGACAGGCACATAATATACTTGACTGGAGAAATATCGAAATGTGATATTGTTTTTTTTAGGTGCAAGATTTGCTATTAATCAGATCAAGATTGGTTTAATTAAAGTGCTGATGAATTATAAAATAGATGTTTGCGAAATGACTCAGATTCCACTTATCCGTGCTCCGTGGACCAATTTCATGTTCCAAACAACTCATGGCATATATGTAAAATTGACCAAACTCGTCTAACATATAATTTATAAGTATTGTATGCTACATATATATCTCTGTATAAGTTAATCAAACAATACAAAATGACATTATGTCAATATTCCATTATAACGTTTATGTAATATTCGTAATACATGTTTACACTACACATTAATGTAGATTAACTTTAATCTTGGCACAATTTACTTTAATCTTTTTATAATTTTTAGAACTAGGAAAAATAAGTTGAACCGAGATTAAAGTTAACTTGATAGAAATATAAGTCAATGAGATAACATTTATTAATAAAAGAAAAATTAAACGTGTAAAATTTTTTGCAATGTTTGAATAATTAAATTATATCTATAAATAAGGCATTACACACATATTAATAACGTCAACACATCCAGATAATTCAAAAGATTCAATTCCCTTTTTACTGTGAGTATTTATTCATTAATACGGATATTTTATCGTGTAATATTATTCTCAGTTCCGTATTAATTTTATACATTAATTATAATTGCAAAAGTACAATAACCGATGTGTTAATTTGATATGTAGCATTACGTAATAATGTTAAGAATCATTACATTCTAATGAATATCGATGGATTTAATATTAACACTAACATGATGAGAATTATTATATAGACATGGCGTTAATATTAATTGACTAATCTTCATTGAACTCATATTTGTTTCTTATTACAACTAAAAATGAAACGAAATTGTGTTAAATAAATAATGAGCAACTCAGAGAATAACGCTATATAATATTAATAATAATGCTAAGAAGAATCATATTATTATTGACAATTCGATAATAATCCAGTTTTGGTTAATATGTTGACATGTATTTCACTAATATTCCTCGTGTTATGCATCATAAATAATCTCATGTTCGCAGTAATACTTATTTTGAAATAATACATATAATGCTACAGGTTGCGCTTCATTACGCATTGTGAAATGCGTACTGAAAATCTGAAAGTTTACGTTACGTATAACTATAGATTTTCAGTACTTGCAATGATTAATGGAATTATAGATGATTTTGACACACTTGAAGTATGCAAATTATTGTATAATGTAACGGAATAAAACGATGTAAAAAAATTATAATATTAATTCTTCAACACTACTTGTGCCTTTTAAGGCGTAGTCGATATCACGTTTTCTCAAAATTCTTATTCAGATTTCAATATGTAAAAAACAAATAAAACATAGTCTAGTTTTTATTATAGTCAAAATTTATTGTTACAGGTTTGACAAGTGTGCAAGAATTTTTTCAAATTTTTATGTAGTCCGGAGCTATAAAAAATACATGCTGTTTTCCTCTATGGCCCAGAATGTAAAATATGATTGAAAATTTCGGAGTGGTGCAGGAGAGTTAATCTTCTATGTCCTGGTGTGACTTTGAAGTTATATATTAATATCGATATTTTGTTAATTTTATGTTACATACACGAAAGGGGAATAATTGACTATGATCAATTCTTATAGATTAGTATAATAAATGATCCTTTAATGTTTTTGCAAAAAAAAATGAATTATTGAAACTATTGAATCCATTGTCAATCTGTATTTAGAGATTTATATTTAGAGATCTGTATTTAGAGATTAATATTTGTTAATTTTATGTTACATAAATTTTTTTATGGCCACGAAAAAAAATTCGGATCATAGAGGATAATAAAAATGTATGTATTAATCAATAGTATTATAAAATATATTTTGATTCTTAAATTTAATGTACGAATTTGAATTTGAAAATAATTATGCATGAAATATTCTCTTCTTAATTAATTGTAGCTTTTTTCATATAATATTTATATTGTTATTACTGCTTACTTTTTAACTGTACGATAAATTAATTTTTCAAAAAAAGGAACGATCTTAAATAATTATAAAGTGAATTGCGACAGTAAAATGTAAACACTGAGTACTGAAAACATTAGGTAAACACACAATTTCTGCATAAACTAAACCCGAATTACAATTTTTGAAATGAGGATTGCGCATTCGCAAACAAACGGAAAAATAGAACAAGTTTCTGAAATGTAGTTTTTTAAATATAAAAGCACATAAAACATTGTTGCTTATTACAAAAATATTTGTATGTATGTAAATGTATTTGTGTGTGTGTGTGTGTGTGTGTGCGCGCGCGCACACACACAGATACTTTATATGATTATATACATATTCTATGCTTATCTTAATACATTTTTATACTGTTTATAAAAAATTTTTAAAATTATTTATTTACAACGCATAACAATTATTATTAATAATAAAAGTATTTATAGAGTCAAGTTTTTAATAATAAAAATAATAAAAATTTATTTATTTCGATGTTGTATTGTTATATCAGTCTTGAGACAAATTATAAACAAATAAATAAATAGTTCTAAATATTTTTATTTATAACTATTTGCTTATTTGTTTATAATTGTTTGTAATTTTGTACACAAGTTTTTATTATTTTAATTCATTAAAAACTTGACTCTATAAATATACTTTTATTATTAATAATTGTGCGTTATAAATAAATTTTTTAATTTTTTATTTTTAAAAGACAGGTGATAAACAGAGAGATAGGTAGGTAAATTTCCACTTTCTCTTTAACATAAGCTATCGTAAAATTGTTTGTAATTAACAAAGAATTTCATTTATAAAATGTTAATATTTGATTCATTATTTTTAGCGTTTTATATACAGATACGATAAGAAATGTGATCTATTACACACTAGCAAAAATAATGATACATCTGATAAAAATGATACCTAAATAAACTCATTTAACACCGTTATTATAAAGCAGCGATAAACATAATTAAAAGAAAATAAAAATATATATTTTCTTATAAGTTTAACAAAATAATATTTTCCTGAATATTTTGCGAAAATTGTACCAAAATAACTAGAATTAGCATATTTTTGCATTGTATCGTGTATTATTTTACGTATGATAATAATAATGACTAATACTGTTTCATTAAAAAAATTTTGCGAGAGCAAATGAATAACTGAATATAAAATCTTAACAATGACGATCTGATAATGAGAACGCAATTGTGTGGCGATTATTACATCATTTTTTGGATAAAAATTCATAATTAAATTTTGCTAAAAGGGAACTAATGATGCGCGATAATATGTAATATCTTATTCGAGCGCTTTACGTTCGTTCCGGTAATGTACTATTATATACCGCAATGTACAACTATCGGAAAGTTTGCGGTTGAAGAGACCAACTTCACTGCCGATTATTTTGACAACTTCGGGAAAATTACATTCGCGCGCGAAGATAACAACAGATAATCACTTAATGAAGATCTATGATATATATATATATAAAGGAGAACTGTAGGGTTTATTCTTTCAGTTTTATTAGCAAAAAAGAACTGGCGTTCATAAAAATATCCTTATATCAAAGATTTCTCTTTTTATCGCTAATTTTCAGTAATTATCAACTAATTAATCAGTCTTGCTCATTTTCATGTATTTACTAAAATATATCGTGAAATTTATTAAAATCAAATTGATTTGTATAATACTGTAATACATATCAATATTATAGACTTATATATATAGAAATGTTTTACATGACTTTATTACAATATAATGCTTATATTTCTTCTTTCATTAATCTTCATTAATCTTTCATTGAGACCAGAAATAGCTTTAAATATTTTCGTGTGCATACTACCGCACGTTATTTTCATGAGATAAATAGCAATACTTTACTGCAGTATTGAGATAATATTCAGGTATTTCGGACTATTCTCATTTTGGCAAGTGTAATATCTCGAGCGAATCATCGCTCTACAATAGCGTTCCAGAAACTTGTTGCGAAAGCAATAAACTTTCGTCTTGAGTATACCGTATTGCGCACCTGCGCTTTTAATGAATACATTATAATTATGGTAAATGCGATCGCTGTCTTGGTTACTTGATATATATTGCGTATATAAACAAGTTAAACGTTGCACAATTGTAAGCTTTATACTATTTATATTTTTGAAAAATTTTATCAACACAGGGCAATTTCGGAATTGAACCATTTTAGGATGTTTCGATACAAATTTTGTAAAATTTTTAAATAAAGATAAAAGAGGCAGCCGACAAAGAGTTAACATTTCACGTTTTTCCAGTTATGTCCTCAAATTTTAAATGTCCATGCCAATACAATGCATATGTTTCATGTGTGTACACATGTGATTTTTTTCGGTTAGCCGACGTACACGTAAATCACTTTCACTGCCTGCGGGGTGTACGAATTAAATCCGGCTTGTTCTGTAATTCAATTTTTAGTTTTTAATACTCGCGCTTTTATGCATTGGCAGTTGTCATTTTTCTTGAATATTTTTTATTTTACTGCAATACAAAGCGCATGTAAAAAAAATTGCTTGCAGTATATTGGGATGCGTGAACACGAGGAATTAGTAGAAACTGATAGGAACTGATAGGAAAGTAATAATAACAATAATAATAAAAGAAGGTTCGCGTGAGAACATTCTGATTTTTTAAATTTTATTTTTACATAAAAACGCATAGTTTTTTTCATATTAATTGATATCGTCTTAATATTTTGTCGTAATTATTTGAACGGATTGGACATTGATTCATCGTTCGTTATCAGCTCAATATGTGATACGAATAATATTTATACATATAAATATATTTTATGTAATTATATTTTACACATATCTTTAAATTTTTCTCTTTTATTTAATGTTTATAGCAATTTAATTTTTTTTTAGTAAAAAATAAACATAAGTACTGCAATTGAATTATTGCCAAAGTTTGAAATCTATAATATCTATCGTAGATGTAATATATGTATAACATCGTAACTTAAAATAAACTCCATTATGAAATTATTTTACAGATTTTACAGTAGACACTTAATTTTCAATATAATTTGTTCCTGCTAAATTTTTTTTTCTAATATTTTTTCTTTAAAATTTTTTCTCTAAATTCGCAAACCACGCAAGTAGTTTTAGTCGATCAACAGAGAGACGCGAAGTTATAGTCGCAAACGTAGTTGGTCAGACACACAGAAAGCAGTA